GGCGGCAACAACAATACTACAGCGAGAGTAAAAGTTACGCCTTCTTTCTTTGCGTGAACATTTGGGCGGCGTTATGCAAATCTTCCCACATAGTGAGGTAGACATGTGGGGTGTATTAGAACGAGCCATTTTAGGTAGACGTGGCTGACTCTTAACTTTTATAAAGAATATCTCTTTGGATTTGAGACTTTAGTCTTTGCAACTTTACAGATCTTCTTTATGCACGAACAGCTTGTAACACTCCAAAGAGAAAGGAAAAATTGAAATCGCATCATATGACCCCTTTATTATAGTTCATTAGCCAAACTATTTTAAAATGGCTTCAAATGTGACTCATCCAGTTAAACCTGGAACGATCACATTTATAAGTTACCTTTTCACTGTTGCGGTACTTGTCCCACTTTTTCACCATCTTCACCCATTTTTCCTCTCTTTCAACCTCCTGGAGTTTGTACTAGGGAAACAGCACACTGAATTTTAGTCTTAAATCTAAAATATTCGTAAAACAAAGAGAACATTCAGCAAGAACACCATAATTCAATGGGCTAATTTCTCTAAACTGAATTGTGCCATAAAAGATTTAACAGTAATTTCAGGTGCAAAGAAAGCTGATATCCTAAAGTCACCTTATCCTCCGCTGCGGTCGGTGTCGGCAGTTCCTCTTCACTGAGAAAAACAAATTACAAAGGGGAAATTATTGTTTAACCTGTACAAGTATTACATGAATCAGTAGTATAGTATATATATTTGCATGAATCAAAAGCTTCATTCAAATAACATGAGATTTTACTGTGGATTTATGAAAAGAAATCCTGACAACACGTTCTAACGGTCACAGTCAATTATTACCCAAAATACACATAAAAGCCATATTCTTCATAACATAGTTCGCACATATTCTCTGATGAAACAGTTGAGCATTTAACATCTTCAACTGAAGACATCGTCTCGCTAGACTGAGTGTTAAAACTGCCAGGACAGGCGAGACTTACTGCAGGAAACCGAAGCGGTCCGTGACCTTGTAGATGCTGTAGTCGGCATCCTCCCAGGGGTTAATGTGCACACCCTCCTGCCTGTTGCATCCAGTGGGGACATAATTATGGATTATAATGACTTATACTGTCTTTTTACGCGTTGTGCTGCATCGCGCCACGTAAACATAAAGCCATGTCTGCATTTGTGATCGGAGAAATTACAAACAACAAGTGCTACTCTACACTCCTCAAAACTCGCGTTTGAATCATCAGTGGCAAATCCTTTAAATATAAAAAACATACTTACAGGCTGTGAGTCAGAACAGCCGGCTTGTAGTCTACTCTCCCAGGATCAGGAAACAGTCCTCCATAAAATGTGCTGCACACATCTGAATATTTGGGTTGAACTGTTCTGGAACAGTGTTGTAAATACAACTTAACCACTGATTTCTAGTCGTGTGCTCTTTTGGAAGACCAAACAAAGTACGCGGCTGGCGGATTCGACGAAGGAGCGTCCGGCGGGCTTGCAGCAACCACATGTGATGACCCCGGGCTGGACTCCGCTTCGTCCACGGTGAAAGCCGATCCGGCGATCCACAGCGCAAAGTTTATGTATTTCCTCAGCGACCAGCACGGATCAGCTCCAGGTAGGGCTGGACGATATGGCCAAAATTGATATCACGATATATTTCTTAATTTCGGTGGATACGATATAATTCCGATATCGATATGATTTATGGTTTATTTATCTGAAATAGAAATATTTTCTAACATTATAAAAGCCTTTATCATCACTTTTGATAAATTTTAAGTATCCTTGCTAAATAAAAGTATTAATTTCTATAATTTCTTTCCCAAAAAATTATAAAAATTATACTGAATGGAATAATGTTACAAAAGCTTTTTATTTCAGATAAATGCTGATCTTTGGATCTTTCTATTCATCAAAGAATCCTGAAAAAAAAATTTACTCAACCGTTTTAAATATTGATAATCAGCAAATCAGCATATTAAAATGATTTCTGAAGGATCATGTGACTGGAGTAATGATGCTGAAATTTTAGCTATGTATGGTCACAGGAATAAATTACATTTTAAAACCTATTCAAATAGAAAGCGATTTTAAATAGTAAAAATATTTAAACATTTTACTGACCACTTTTTCACCATCTTCACCCATTTTTCCTCTCTTTCAACCTCCTGGAGTTTGTACTAGGGAAACAGCACACTGAATTTTAGTCTTAAATCTAAAATATTCGTAAAACAAAGAGAACATTCAGCAAGAACACCATAATTCAATGGGCTAATTTCTCTAAACTGAATTGTGCCATAAAAGATTTAACAGTAATTTCAGGTGCAAAGAAAGCTGATATCCTAAAGTCACCTTATCCTCCGCTGCGGTCGGTGTCGGCAGTTCCTCTTCACTGAGAAAAACAAATTACAAAGGGGAAATTATTGTTTAACCTGTACAAGTATTACATGAATCAGAAGTATAGTATATATATTTACATGAATCAGAAGCTTCATTCAAATAACATGAGATTTTACTGTGGATTTATGAAAAGAAATCCTGACAACACGTTCTAACGGTCACAGTCATCTATTACCCAAAATACACATAAAAGCCATATTCTTCATAACATAGTTCGCACATATTCTCTGATGAAACAGTTGAGCATTTAACATCTTCAACTGAAGACATCGTCTCGCTAGACTGAGTGTTAAAACTGCCAGGACAGGCGAGACTTACTGCAGGAAACCGAAGCGGTCCGTGACCTTGTAGATGCTGTAGTCGGCATCCTCCCAGGGGTTAATGTGCACACCCTCCTGCCTGCCCTGCAACCGGCCCAACAAACAAACTGAGAAACTGGAGCAAAGGCAAAAGACCCTCAAACCAAGAGATGACTGGAACTCTTAAAGGAATAGTTCCCCAAATTTTCTCCAGTCGAAAAAGTCATCTTGTATGAATTCGGAGAGAAATATGCACATATAAAGCACCGTTTACAAGCAAAACAGTCTAAATTACTTCTGAAGGAAACATTATTATGGATTACGGATTTGTTTTTTGGCCAGAAGTGATGGTTTAAAGTTGAAATGCCTTAATGATGGATTTGCTTCTTACAAATATGCAGCTTTTCACTTCACAAGATGTTAATTAATGGCAAATTATATCGTGATACATATTGATATTGAATTATTGTCCAGCCCTAGCTCCAGGCATGACGAAGCGGATATCGTCCTCTTTTGGAAGACCAAACAAACACAACGAAACACACAGCGACTTCATGACATGGCGGCGGCAACAATACTACCACTAGAGAAAGGAAAAATTGAAATTGCATCATATGACCCCTTTAATATAGTTCATTAGCCAAACTATTTTAAAATGGCTTCAAATGTGACTCATCCAGTTAAACCTGGACTTAATGGCCTGGATTACTTGTGGGTTATTGTGATGTTTTTATCAGCTGTTTGGACTCTCATTCTGACGGCACCCATTCACTGCAGAGGATCCATTGGTGAGCAAGTGATGTAATGCTAAATTGATGTAACTCTCTTACCATGAACAATCATTGATGATCTGGGGGTGAATACATTTTTCAGCAAATTTGTATTTTGGCTTAACTAGCCTATTCCTTTTAAGAAAGAACATTTGAAAACACCCCACTTCTTGTATAGAACAATTCAGATCTCCAAAATAGATTGAAACAAGAAACCCCCAGAATCTACAATTTCTGCTAACAGATTATATTTCTGTCTATCCTGAACATCTTATCTGTCTATGCTCCACAGCCTTATCTAAAGGTATCTGAAGTACGCTGAGAACTTCCAAGTATGCAGACTGTAGTCAATATTTGAGTGTAGCAGCAATGTTAGCATGACATCCAGCTGTTGTCCGTCAAAACACTTCCTCCTCAAAAGATTTTGGCTGTGTCTGAAAGCTAAAACTTGCTGGTTTTGCAAGCTGTATATGGAATAGGGCTGCCCGATAAATCGCATGCGATATTTAACGCGCATCTTATCAGTAAAGCCGGTTCTGTAATCAGTGGTAAATCTCCATCACGTGCGTGCTTTCACATTGAGCAGCATTAACTACACAGAGCCGTTGTTCACTGACGAGCTGCACAAAAAAAGCAAATATGAACGTGGTTTTGCGCAACTCGTCAGTGAACAACGGCCCTACCTAGTTAAAAAAACATTGGTATATCAGCATTTCAATAACTTCTCACATAAGTTTTGTGCAGCATTTCTAAGGAAAGCTGTTCCTTGCCAAGAACAGCAAACTGCAGTAACTTTTGGGTGGTGTAGTCTAGTGGTTAAATATCTGGGATAGTTGATCCATGAGCTATCACAATCATTCCCTTGAGCAATACACAATACACCCTAGGCTACTCCAAGCAGTGGCGTACCCCAAATCTTGGCATCTCCAAGAGGACTGCGTGTAATGCAAAAGCATCTGATCTGATTAATGACCACTTACTACTTTACTTGGGGTACTTTGTCAGTATGCATTGCTGTCCATGTCACTGAGGGTCATGGACAATCATTAACCAGTTTCCCCTTGTCTGGACATCGGCTGAACCGGTCAAAGATCAAAACTACAGAAAGTCAGAAGGTAGACAACTAAAAGGATGTAACTTGCCTTCTCATATTTTTTGATGATCTCAGCCCGTTCTTCAGCTATTAGAGTATCAATGTCCTTCTTCATTTCAAAATCTGGAAAAGGATCAAAACAAACAGAAGACTTTGAGTAAATTGGCTCATCTAGGCACGTGCAAACTTGTTCATAAGAGGTCGTTGAATATGATGCTTTACTAATCCTCTACTGAGCCACCTTCAGGTCTGCTTGGCTAAAACACATGAAAATGATGAGGCATCTACATTCCATCAATATAACAAAATTCATCCAAGTTCTGCCTGAAGCTGACAGACATCCATGTGAGGTGGAGTTGCACATTCATTCATCATGAGCCAAAAACAGACAAGTGCTGTGATGTCAGCTAATTCTTCAGACAACATTCTTGTCAGGAAAAGTGCTGGAGAAAAAACTCACACAGTGCACAAGAAAGACCAGGACTTAAGTCACATGGGCAATCCATCAACTATTACACATCGCTGTGTAGGCCAACAATTCAGCCTTTACCTTTCCATGTAGATGAACCAATGTGGTCAGATTCATACAGAAACCCAAGCTTTGATGGCAATTTGATATTTGAGCAAGTACATTTTCGGGCACACTTTATTTTAAGGTCCAATTCTCCCTATTAACAAACTATTAATTACGACTTTTGCCTCAAACTCCTAATTTTCAGCTTATTAATAGTTATTAAGGTAGTTGTTAAGTTTAGGTACTGGGTAGAATTAGGGATGTAGAATATGGTCATGCTGAATATGTGCTCAATAAGTACTAATAAACAGCCAATATATTAAAGGGTTAGTTCACCCCAAAATGAAAATTATGCCATTAATGACTCACCCTCACTTCGTTCAAAACCCGTAAGACCTTCGTTCATCTTCGGAACACAAATTAAGATCTTTTTGAGAGCTCTCTGACCCTGCATATACAGAGTTCACCCCAAAATGAAAATTCTGTCATTAAGTACTCACCCTCATGTCGTTCCAAACCCGTAAGACCTTCGTTCATCTTCGGAACACAAATTAAGATATTTTTGAGAGCTCTCTGACCCTGCATATACAGAAACGCAACTGAAATGTTCACAGGTCCAGAAACGTAGAAAGGACATCGGTAAAACAGTCCATGTGACATCAGTGGCTCGACTTCAGTTTTGCGAAGCTATGAGAATACTTTTTGTGTGCAAAGAAAACAAAAATTACATAATTTATTTAACAATTCTTCTCCCCCCAAATTACGTCTTCTGCCATTTTGGAGAGTACCCAAGAACGTAATCAGTGTAATCAGCGTTGTTTACACTTAGGGTAAAGCGTGCATATGCATTGTGATACTCTCCAAAATGGTGGAAGACAGTAACTCGGAGGAGAGGAATTGTTGAATAAAGTCGTCAGTTTTGTTTTCTTTGCACACAAAAAGTATTCTTGTAGCTTCGCAAAACTGAAGTCGAGCGACTGATGTCACATGGACTGTTTTACCGATGTTCTTGCTACGTTTCTGTCTGGGAACATTTCAGTTGCGTTGCTGTCTATGGGAGGGTCAGAGAGCTCTCAGATTCCATCAAAAATATCTTAATTTGTGTTCCAGAGATGAATGAAGGTCTTACGGGTTTGGAACGACATGAGGGTGAGTACTTAATGACAGAATTTTCATTTTGGGGTGAACTAAACCTTTAATAATAGGCATGCTAATAAGCAACTAGTTAATAGTGAGAATAGGTCCCTACTAAAATATTACCACATTTTTGGTTCTGTGCTGGTAATAACTAGCCCCATTGTGAAAGATAATCTGGTTATTTCAGGGTGAATTAACCATTAATAATTTGTCTGTGTAAGTCAATTTGAATAAAAATGCAACTCAAAAGTGTGACTCAAAAGTTAGACCAATTAGATTCTAGAAAGAAAATGTAAACACTTCTCATTTTGTCTCCTCTTGTTTGAGGAATCAAATTAACTATGAAGGAAGTGTTACTTGGTCCTTTGAACCTCTGTGGCGACGCAATGGAATCAGAAATTGACAGAGCAGGACTTTCGCAGCTGATACTTGCCACCATGTGTTGAAAACTGTCGAGGTCTGTTAGTTCACATTCTCTGTGCACAGGTGGGACTCTTAGAGTCTACAGTTCACCAGACAACTGCTCTGCTGAGACACATGGGCACCTTTCTTTGTTTAACCACCTGTCCCATTCAGATCGTATAAATGGAAACCCAAATTTCCCTTTCAAACTTCCCTTCACTCTCGAGAAAAAAAAAATTGGCTAAAATTGTACCTTTAGGGGTACAACGGCTTGTCACTGGGGCAGTGCCCTCAAAGGGATAACTTTTTACCTTATTTACCCCAATGTATACATTAAGGGTACATATTAGCCTACTACTTTAAGGTACTAATGTGCACCTTTAGAGGTAGAGAATGTGCAAAAAACAAGATTATGTACCCATAAAAGGTAAAATTTTTACAATTTTTTTTCCTGATAGTATTTTAAACTTCTTAATATGTTAGCAGGATGTTTTCTGTGAAATACGGAATAATGTACAAATAAACAGCCCACAATAATGTAGGAGTTAGCCTACATTATTCAGCATTTCTTCATTTGTGTTCCACGGAAGAAATAGAGTCATACGCTGTACAGATTTTCAACATGTAGGCTAGGTGATTAAATAATGAAACAGCACTATCCAAATTCTTTCTGCACGCAATCATCAACCTCTTGAGAAGTCAAATGTGCCACAAGAAACAGATCACAGGCATAAGACTTGATCTTGTGCTAAAACACCTTGATTTCTGTTACTGCTGTAGGGAAAGGCTTCTCTGAGAAGCATTAAGTCTCCTATAAGCTGACCAGAGAAAACAGGTCACAGCTAGCAAGAGATGCAAGCATAATTTATTTACCACAGTGAGTCTCGTCTATGAGTCGGGGAACTTAATGGCTTGACAGAAATCATGGGATCAAAAATGTGGGCCACTAGGACTACCGTCCATCCTTGTGCAATAAATGGTTACTTAAAACCATGATGAAACATCTTTCTTTAGGCTTAACAAAATAAACCAGCTTCAAGGCTGATCAAACAGGTTTATCACTGTCCAAGCAAAGGTTAAAGCCAAAACTGTGTTTCAAATTTCTCATGAAACTAAAGAGATGGAAGTCACCCACAGATCTTAACAAATAACCACATGCTTTCAATTACAAGTCTGCTGTGACTTGTTTTCAGACATAACCAGTGGCACAATTTAAGTGCAATTATGTAAGATGCTAAAGATCTAAGGTCTAAGTGAAACTAAACTGTTTTGTTAATGTAAACAATTTCAACTTTTCGAAAATGGTTTTTACCCATTTTGACAACAGCATACCGGAATTTTTATTTTTATTTACACCACTGCAAAATGCATCATACATCACTCCTTTAAATTAAATGCAAGCTCTAAATCCACAGTTGGATCCTGTTGAAAATACCATGTGATGGATGGCCAAAGGCATAGGTGTGTCACCACCACCAGGCTGTTGTTTGCACAGCAGGAGCGTTTCCTTTGTGAATACAATCAATCACAGGTCAGCGGCAGGAGGGCAATGAAAAGGTGCTGATGGGGAAAGATCCTTAACACTGATCTGTGCTCAATTCAGCAGTTTTTACTGGCAGTAGCCAATATGCAGACATACAACAATACACATAGCAGAGATGCACTACAGTTTACATGGAAGTGTGAATATTCACCTTTCATGGACAGCTTTGGGTTCGTTTTGAGAATGACTTCAAGAAATACTTGAACTTTCCCATGTAGGTTATATTCAATAAACTGTGTACAAAAGTGAAGTTTAGCCACATCAGTTTCACATCAGGCTCGGACTTTCCATGGCCTGACCACGTAATTTGAAGTTACGCAACCAAGCTGCAGAATCTCACCGAAACCCAAGAGGCAAACAACCAATAAATTAACATAAATAAATAAATAAATAAATAGGGGGTTTGTAAGATCTCATGTATTGTATTCCATGGATCTTCTCAAACTGTGCAGAGAACAAGTCTGGACTATTAGTTTAGCATGTGATGCACACTATGAAATATCCCTGGGAAACAAACAAGTGGATTTAATAATTAAACACAATGTCACAACCTAAAGTCCATATGCCAATATCTTAAACTTATGTGCATAAGCCTAACTTGGAGTAACCGAGAGTAATTCATCACAGGAAAAAGGAATTAAGAATAATATTTTCTTATATTAATATAGTATATTTTCTTAATATTTTTTATAGTGCTTCCAGTTTGTTTGTTTTTTTCTAATTTGAAGAGCTATGAAAATTGGAACAAAAATTCTGTCATTATTTACTCACCATTGTTGTTCCAAACCCATAAGAGTTTTATTCATCCTCACAAATTAACGTATTTTTAATGAAACCCGAGAGAGTTCTAAAAGTCCATTATACCAAAATGTTAATGCTTCGAAAAGTTCATATAACGTTCAGTGGAGGAGAAATGTCTTAGGTTTCATTAAAAAATGTCTTCATTTGTGTTATCATTTTTTGGGGGTGAACTATAACAATCCATCCAATCCATCCGACTTTTATTATTATTATTTTTTTTTTTTATTATTATTAATATTATTATAATTTTGATTGATGATTAGGCTAAGCCTGGTGCTTATACACAATGAAAAACTGTTCATTGTGTGTTGCCCAAGTCTAACAAATTAACAACAATAGCAATGTTCTGTTAAAATTAGGGCTGCACGATAAATCGCATGCATATTTAACGCGCATCTTGTCAGTAAAGTCGGTTCTTTAATCAGTGGTAAATCTCCATCACCTGCGGGCTTTCACATGGAGAAGCATTTACTACACAGAACCGACTTTACTGACAAGATGCGCGTTAAATATGCATGCGATTTATCGTGCAGCCCTAGTTAAAATAGCTCAGCCTATTCACCCCCCCCCCCCCCTT